ACTCATTAGCATCATATAAAAAGAGAGTTTTCAAAGGTTCTTCTGGTTCCCCAAGTAACGGAAGAGACACTTTGCCATTGGAACAGCACATGCCTGCGGTCTCATTTTTCCATTTTAAAGCGGTGCAAAATCGACACGCCTTGTCCATCAGTCCGATAACAACTAACCTGTGACTTTTATAATCAATCAACGGATCATAATTGAATGCTGCGTCATTAAAAACCGACCAATTGTTTCTTTGAAAATTTTGTCGACGTTCAGCTTGGAGCTGTGCATTTGCATCTCTTCGCGCCTGTGTCTGTTCTGGTGTTTCAGATGCCCTTATAGTAGATTGACGTTCAGCTTGCTCAATGAGTCTGTGTTGAGTTTCATCAGGTGTTTCCGCGGCTCTTAAGGCGGCCTGACGTTCCGCTTGTTCGAATAGCCTTTGCTGACTTTGAGCAGGTGTTTTAGTAGCTCTTAAAGTAGATGAGTTGTTCGACGCCTTTGCTGATTTGATCAGGTGTTTCAGTAGCTCTTAAAGTAGCTTGACGCTCTGCCTGTTCAAGACGCCTTCGCTGACTTTGAGAAAGTGTTTCAGAAGCTCTTAAAGTAGCTTGACGCTCTGCCTGTTCAAGACGCCTTTCCTGAATTTGAGAAGATGTTTCGGAAGCTCTTAAAGCAGCCTGACGCTCTGTTTGTTCAAGACGCCTTTGCTGACGTTGAGAAGGTGTCTCAGATGCTCTAAAAGCAGCCTGACGCTCTGCTTGTTCTTGCCTTCTCAGTTCAGCATCTTCTAAAGATTCTAGCGATCGAGCTAATCTTTTCGCTTGTCTTTGAGAAGATACTCTTGAAAGGCTGGACTTACGTTTGCGAGGCATTATGAAGTAACAAAAAACCTATTTATAAAAAAACGTTAAAATACCTAAAAAGGAATTAAATTTCCTTTTAAATATTTTTTTAAAAGCAAATCCAAAATATCTAAAAGGAATAAATATTCCTTTTAAATATTTTTTAAAATCAAAACAACAAAACCAATTCAAGACAAAACACGAATCCGAAAACGATAGCCAAAAAAAAATCGAATCAACTTAAACCAAATCACAAAACAAATCGCAGAAAACCGAAATCGAAAGCAGTAGTCAATATAAATATAACCAACGAAAAAAGAAGTAAGTGTATAGGTACCGTATACACTATCTATACTATTAATATTCCTTTGAAATATTGTTAAACAACCTAAAACAACGAAAACCAATTCACGATTCTAAATAAACAAAATCCAAAATCAAAGCCAGAGTCTAAATATGTATAAAGGAATACCAACCAAATCAACAAAACCGATCCAAGAAAATACACAAATCCGAAAATGAAAGCCAATATAAATCCATTCAACTTTAACCAAATCACAAAGCAAATAACAAACAACCGAAATCGAAAGCAGGTAGTCGAATAAGCTACGAAATAGAAACAATTTAAGCGTATAGGTACCGTATGCACTATAAGTTGACGCGCGGCTCAACGGCGGAGTTAAGTACATGTCAGGAAACATTTCGTTACCGCGTTTTAAAAACCTAGTAACGACATCTAGCGGAATCAATTTAAACTATGTATACGTTAGTTAATAAGAACTCTCAAAAAATATTTTTCTTATAATTTTGCACAATTTTTCTTATTGTAATACCGATTCATTCATAACCACATATAAGAACTGTATTAATTTCCGTTCAATAAATATTACTAAGGCTTAGGCTCTGAGAACTGTTTCTACCACAGTTAAGTAATAGTTAAGGGTGAAAACGTGACAGGTGGTGATAGTATTTCTGATCCATACTTATAATCACGCCTGTAACCCTTGCGGGGTAGGCAGAGCATCAACGGATTATTTAATATCGTCTGCGAGGTTATCGCCTATTCTGTGAATTACAATGCACCAAAACGTTTGAAGAAAATCAGCTGGTGAATTTTATGTTTTTTATTGCTCTCTTCCCGGTCCTGCGTGGAAAAATACAGATCCATACATTTTTTATCTTAATTTTGGTGAAAAGACATAATAATCCAGATATTCTGACCTTCTGTGTTCGTCCATCGTACCGTCGTCCGTCTTGTAGAATCACGGTGGCGCCACCTAGCTGAATTTAATTTTGCAACATATTCGATTTTCTCACGGGAATGATATGTTTTTCCGCTGAAAAAAGTAGCCTAGGTCACTCTACAGCCACCGAACTATCCCCTTACAATAAATCATGCCATGCCGACGCTCTGTTGCGACGTGAAAGAAGGACAAACTTGTGCAACATATTCTATTTTCCCCACGGGAATGAGATGTTTTTCCGCGGAAAAAAGTAACCTATGTCACTCTACAGCCACCGAACTATCCCCATACAAAAAATCATGCCATGCCGACGCTCTGTTGCGACGTGAAAGAAGGACACACTTGTGCAACATATTCTATTTTCCCCACGGGAATGAGGTTAGATGACTAGGCTACTTTTTTCCGCGAAAAACATCTCACCCGTGGGAAATTTCTATTTTAACTATCCCCATACTAAAATTCATGCCATGCCGACGCTCTGTTGCGACGTGAAAGAAGGACAAACTTTTGCAACACATTCTATTTTCCCACGGGAATGAGATGTTTTTCCGCGGCAAAAAGTAACCTATGTCACTCTACAGCCACCGAACTATCCCCATACAAAAAATCATGCCATGTCGACGCTCTGTTGCGATGTGAAAGAAGGAAAAACAAACAAACAAACACACTTTCGCATTTATAATATTAGTATTAGTATGGATGTATTACTCTTTTTAATCCTATTATCACATACATATACGTATATAATTATTATCAACGTTAAAATAACACAGTTCAAAAATTAAAGGTTTTTAAGTGTCAAAATAATGTAATCAAATTAAGTACATACTCCTCTATACAAATCAATAAATAAATGCAGTTTCTACTACATAAATAGAACATATAAGAATATAAAGAAAGTAATGTCAAAAAGAAATGCAGAAGTAAGCTACAGATCATGCTTAATCCGAATAGGAAAAGTTGCCATAAAAAAAGAGGGGCAACATCAGTTTTTGTTTTAATATTGGTATGGGATTTATGTGCAGTGCTGGATAAACTAAGGGTGAAATTAAGGTTTTCTGTCACTTGGGTAGGTCTTTATATGGGGTGCCTAATTCATGGATCATTTTAAATTTTATTATCCCAGCAGAGCCGTATAGTAAAGCTTTGACATCCTTCACTACTGTGACTTGTCTTTGAGATGGTCTTATCGATTCATATCTTAATACTTCACTTATAGATTAATCTTATAAAAAATCAGTAAGAGACAATCTTCTGCTTATAAGGAAATGGCCTGCTTCTTGCTTTTCGAGCCGCATTATCATATTAACTAGGCTACTACTATGAAAAGTTGCACTGCATCTGTGTTATTTTCGGTAGATCACAACATTATTTTGAATAGCCAACTCAAGTGAGACATTTGAGACTACTGCATTCCAATTCTGGTAGGTGCACCCATCAGATATTGCTATCAGTTTTTCTGCTATATATAAAGACAAAATGTCTATCAGGCAAGTGACAAATGTCAAAGCCGATAAGTTTGTATCAGTTTCAGCATCCCATTTAATGAGCAGATCATAACAACAATTTGTTGTATACACAAAATTTTCTGTAATGCGTCTTGTAGTACATACTGCTAGTATTGAATTTTGGAGATGATTTAACGGATTGAAGATCAACTGTGAAAACTTTACAGTGACCAATTGTGTCTAGTTTATCGTTAGTTTTAGCACCCTTAGTAACCAATTCTTTTTCTAATCTATAGGCATCATAAACCTTAGGTTTATAGATTAGAAATAGTAACAGGCATCGTTTTCGGATTAAATATCCCCACATTCATTTTTTTAAATGCTATTTTAAAGGTTCTTTTGTTTACTACTGAATCATCTCTTTCATGCTGGTGAACACAGTATCATTTCTATAACCAGGAAAATTGGAGATCTCGCAACGTAATTTTCAAGGTTTGATGAATCCGGTAAGTTTTTTTTTCAGAACATGACTTAAAATAAGAGTCAATTCATTTTTATGACAGTCAGTATTCATGGTAATGAATGCCGAACGACGATATGTTTTGATATGAGAGACATAGGAGGGTAATTTTGTATAATAGCCCAATTACTTTATATATTTACTTTTTATTATTTATTTATTTCATAGATTATTTTTAACTTCACAGTGGGATGTTATTGTAATGGGTCCGATTTTGCAAATTGGAATAAAATGAGTTGAATAGTATGGTTTTTAAGAGGATGTCTGTATGTATGTATGTTTGGACTCAATTTTCGCTTTAATGCATAAGTATGTAACTTAGACCTCATTAAATTTTGAGCAAAATCGGTCAAGTAGTTTTTTGTGCCGAATGAAAAATTGTATACAATATTAAAACATATGATATTTTTTTATTCTCTCCACTGGGAAGTTAGTCCTGTGGATCTTTCGGGTCGCACCTAGACCACTTTTTTAAACTGGAGAAGATATGAATTGTTGGAATTCGGCTATGGTTGTATATAACTTGTATATGATTGTATATAAATTGTATGTGGTAGGGCCACGCTGCAGCTATATTATGGTAGTAGCACGAATGAGTGGGCTCGACCGGGGAAAGACCACATTTTCACAGAATACCGTCGTAAAATAGCAGCTTAATACTACTGTCTCATATGGTGAGTGTAGAGATCCAAAGACCCTTTTTTACTGGAAATAAGGCATTCCATCTTAGCCCTCAGGGATGACAACGCATCTGCGTTTTGATTCTTAATCGAGGATAAATGTAGATGTCTATGGATCACAGCATCCACTTACCATCAGGTGGACTGTGTGCTCGTTTGTCAACCTTATTCAACAAAAATTAATAATTTGGTGAGCATAAAATAGTTATTAATTATATTCAACAGAATGGCAGGCATGAAAATGACGCTTGAAAAAAATATATAAAAAAAAGTATTACCTAAATCGGTTAAGACTCTCTCTTTGTCTGTAGTTCCATCAACATTATATTGTCCATGTCTGATAAGAATTAAGTGTCTAATAGCTTTACTTTTTGCCTTTTCAATTTGTTCATTGTATCGATTTTCATCTTCTGGTTTAGTTGGTGATGATAGTTTTACAATAGACTGAGGTTCCCGACTAAAATTATATAACCAAAATTCCAATATAGTAAGCAAGTTTAAGTATAATAACGCAAAAGATTGGGTAAGTGAATCTAGTGAGATGAGAATGACAGCAGGCAAATAAGATAAATAATAAGGGCCATTACGGGGTTTCATCTTTGAAACCTCATATCAAGCCCACTGGAGGATATAATGTGCCTTTCCTTCAATGAGAAAAATTTGCTTTACATCCAATCATAACATGCACAAGTGATGGAGTCACAAATCTAATCTCTCTCATCACTTTTCACTTGGATCTTGCTGGTTTGCTAGGCGAATTTCCGCTCTGCATTTCTTGTGATCAAATTGAACTCCTTACCTATGACTTACGACCGGGTGTGGCACATAGGACTACTTTACAAGCTGAACGAACAGACCAGTGTCCCTCTTGCTATGTTGCGGCTAATGGCGTCTTTCCTGGAAGACAGGAAGTTCTACGTCTGCATAGAGGATGCTGAGTCCGCAACCAGATCCATCAGAGCCGGCGTTCCACAGGGCAGCTGTTTGTCTCCAGTCCTGTACGCGGCTTACACTAACGATATACCTACACTGGCAGACAGGCTTCAAGAGTGGGAGGACGACGTTGAGCTGGCGCTATATACGGACGATAGCGCCTATTTCACCTCGTCCAGAAGAGCCCACATAGCCACTGCCAAGATGCAGCGTCTGCTGGACCTGCTGCCACCATGGCTGGATGAGTGGAGGATGGTCGTCAACGTTGGTAAGACGACCACTCTGCTCACTCGCCGTCTCAGGAAATTTCCACCTCCGCTGACCCTCAACGGCCAGAAGATTGCGTACCAGAAGGCCGTAACCTACCTTGGGTGCAGGATCGACAAAATGTATAGTGAATTAACACTTTTGTAGGGTTTTTTGCTCTAGAAGTTCTTTATAAAGAACTTAATAGTTTATATTGTTATTTTATATTACAGAACAGTACTAGAGCAATCTAACAATGTATAATTTGTAAGGGTTATGTGAAAGTTTTAATAAATAAAGGCTCCTAAGGTTTTGGCTCGAAATAAAAACAACACGCGAGACAGGGAAAACTGCGAAGGGAGTCGCCCAAAAGCTGTCACCATACAGAAAGACGGATGGGTTACCATCACTGGGAAGAGCAGGCAACCAGCCCCCCTCCCCACCCGTAACATCTCAGGAAACGGTGGAACCCACAATGACCAGGGCAACCACCGGGGCGACTCTACAGCCCCCCCGCCAACCCCGCCACAGAACGGGAACCCTCCAAAAAGAGGAGGCGAGAGAGAAGTAGGAAGAAGTCGCAGCCTCATCAGGGTGTTACCTCTATCCCGACACCAACTGTACCAGTAGCCTCACAGGCGCAGATTACTCGGGAGACAACCAAAAGCGTGGGTAGAGTGCCAGAAAGGGCTTTACCTGAACATAGAGCCCGCTTTACTAGTAGACTCTACCCACAAGCAAAGAGAGCAAAACCAGGAATTCCAACACCCGAGACAATTGCCAATGCCTTCTTATAGGAGAACACCTACCGCCGGCCTCGAAACAGCAGACGCAATCCAGTGAGTCTTTTGGGCTATTTTCTGAATTAACTGTGCATGGCCTATTTCACTCAAACAATAAATTGTATTTCTGTGAAGGTCCCATTGTTAATTTTTGTGCCTAATATTAATGTTGTCTGAAAGAGATCACTTTTCAGTGATAAGACTGTCATACTGTATAGCAGAATCGCCCAGTTTCCCTTCTAGTAATCTGCTTGTTTTTTCATGGTTTATATTGTTCAAGTAAAGTAGGCATATTATACAAACATACACAAAAAATAATCTATTTTTACAGACCTTAATGGGTATGAAAATCCATGGTGGAAGAATGTTCAAAATATTACGACCCAATCACCATACCAGTATTTCTACTACATTTCAGAACTTTTAGTGTTATGCATTAAATGCATATTTTATTAATAACATTGAGTACTGGATTACAAACAGTTCAGTTATGGGGGTTGCCTATATGCAACACGACAAATGAGGTGTGGGAAGGTGGTGACCCTCCCCCTGCAATTGTGGTCGGTGCGGGAAGTGGAGGCATTCATGTATAGGATTTGTATTGAAGTAGTGAAAAAGTATGTTTACAAGTAGGTCACTTATTTAGAAGGTGCCTTTGAAGAATTAAAAGAAGCTTAAATAACTTACCAGTCCCAATTCTTCTCCCATTTTACACTGGGAGTGTAATTTACAGTCCAAGAATTCTGCACATCAAATTTCTTTTCGGATTTACCAATAGTGTAATATGCTAAACTACCACCAACAGCGCCTAAACTTAAAAGGGCAATTTTATGAAGTCTTGAGAAAGTAGTCATAATTAAAGATTTAAAAGTTAAAAATTACTATATTTATACATTTATAAAGTATCACATAAATTATAAGATATTCAAAGAAAGTATTTTTTTTTTTTTTTTGATGAACACTGATACTGAACGATGAACGGAACAGGTGAAATTTTCCTTATATATTACTATACTCTTTGGGTGAAATAACCTAACCTCAAAATCAGTTCAGTTCAGTTAGGCAGTTAGGCACGGACCGAAATATCAAAAGGGAATAGGGATCCGCAAATAGTGTCGATACTTGAGTAGTATCGAAACTTTTAGCTAGACACCTAGTATTTTTGTACTCGATACTTTTATTAGAGTATTTTAGTAAGAATCGATACTTTTTTAGTTACTCGATACTTTTGTCGTATTTCCTTTTCCGATGTATATTGTCGTCCCTCTCGATGGAATGAGGATTTTGGGGACAAACCTTATTGTAGGGGATGAGAGCTAGTGGACTGTATTTATTTATTGCTAGGAATAAAACTGAACTATTTATTACTGTGAGATCTGTCTGACTAATTATTTTTAAACGAAAATTGCTATTTGAAATTGCAAGGGGTTGAGTTGAAATCAAAGAAGTTTAATTTAATCACTATATTAATCACTTTTTACAGCTGATTGTGCGGCAGTTAACACTAAAATCTAATAGGGATCTTGAGGGCTTCTTTCATGCTTGTTATCTTGCTTGTTCTTCTGCCGTAACCGCACGAATGACGAAAACTCACCAGGAGCGCTTCTTTTATTTTGGCGGTCGGTGTAACGTAGGCACCGAGTTGGTGCGAGAGTTTGTCCTTGCGGGGCCCTTGTTCTGATGCGGGGTGTGGGGAACGTGTCGACGTGGGTGCGGTGCGGGGCGATGGACGATCATCTCTTCACCGTCCGTAACATCCTCCCCCCGGCGTAGTTCACGAGCCCTCTTCTCTCGGGAAGACAGCGATCTTCCTGACCGGCCTCCTCAGCAAGCCGCCTTTAGTCCTGACCTCAACGTTCCGCACAACTTCATCTGGTCCGGGAAAGGTCCTTGTGACGACTCCTCTTGGTCACACGTTCCTCGGGAGGTTGCTGTCTGCTATGATAACAAGGTCGTCTTTTTTAATTTGGGGCTGCTGGGCATTCCTGGATTCCCCTCTGAGCACCAGGTTCGGTAGGTACTCGCACACCCAGCGTCGCCAATACTCGTCAGCCAGTCCTTGCGCAGCCGTTCAGGTCCGTCGATCCACCGATGAACCGTCGCGGTGACTGGCATGTTGGATGGTCCCAACAGAAGAAAGTGGTTGGGAGTCAAGGCTTCCTCGTCGTTGATCCCGACTGGCACGTGAGTGAGAGGTCTGGAGTTTACCGTATTCTCCGCCTCTGCCAACAGCGTTATGAGCGTTTCTTCCTTGGGTCTCTTTTGATGAAGAGTAGCCTCGAGCACCACCTTGATGGAACGCACCAATCGTTCCCATGCGCCTCCCTGGTTGGGCGCACCCGGTACGATGAACTTCCACTCCGTTCGATGAGTAAGCGCGAAGTCCTTTAGCTGCGGTGCCCACTCCTCCATGGCCCGTCGTAATTCGGTGTCTGCTCCATGGAAATTAGTGCCGTTGCCTGAATAGATTACCCTGGACCACCCGCGCCTAGCCGCCATATGCCTAAGCGCCATGATTGCCGAGTCCGTGGTTAAGCCATGTACCAATTCAACGTGTACCACGCGCATCGTAAGACAGGTGAGTAATGCAACCCATCTCGTCTCATGCCGTCGCCCCAGTTAACGGCCGGAAATAATCTAATCCGGTATACGTGAACGGTCGTTCGAATGCTCTTAACCTTTCGGGAGGCAAGTCTCCTGTTACCGCCGGTCGTGATGTAGCTTTCCTAACACGACATCGCATACTCCTTTTCTTGATTTCCCCAACCGTCGGTCGCAGTCGAATAATGTGGTACTTTCTCCGTAAATCGTTGACTACTCGTTCTCTGTAGGCGTGGCTAGCGTCCTGGTGTGCCTTCTCCACGAGCATCTGTACGAACGGGTGTCATTGAATCGGTTCAATATGACCGGCGTTTCGTTTGATCTTCCACAGCGGCTGCGTCGATCTACCTCTTGCTCTCAATATTCCTCGTTCGATGACCGGGTCGAGCCTTTTTAGTGCGCTGCCGTTGTGTAAGTCTCTTCCTTGGTAGAGCCGAGCGATGTCATCAGCAAAACTCTCCTGCTGACTCTGCGCTACCCATAGCTGCTCTGCCTTTTCAATATGTTCTAACGTTAACTCCTTAGCTCGTCCACGAAGCATTTCGACGATCTGTATGACTCATGCCGTAGCTCTGATTAGTCTCTCGTACGAAGAGAATCTCCTTGTGTCCGGCAGGTGTGGTGCTCCTTTTATTTCTCGCTGGTGCGCCACGATTTCCTCATATTCCTGGCCTGCCCTTTCTTCCGGTTGCTCTGGCCATTCTCCTTCTTCTTTATACAAGAAGTCCGGTCCGGTGAACCACTTATCGTTTGCGTTCATTGTTACATATTTCGCTCGCATCACTTCATCTGCTACGTTGTGAGCCGTTGATAACCACTTCCATTGGTCGGGTGATGACTTCTCTACTATCTCCCCGAGCCTATGTGCGACGTATGGAGCGTAACGCGCCGTGTTATTCCTAATCCAATGGAGTGCCGTCGACGAGTCTGTCCAGAACACTACCCTATCCGCTCTCATCCTACGCTCGCTTTGTACGTATTCGGCAAGTCGTACACTTATTAAATTCGCCTGTAATTCGAGTTTGCTTTCGATTTGGCTGCTACTAACGTGACTCTTATCGTACCGTCGCGATAACGGATACGCCAATTACGCTGTGGATGCGTATACACTTTCACTAGCGTCACTAAAAATATGTAATTGACGATCGACTTCTCCTCCCGTAGGAGCATAACACTGCGGGAGATTCAACCGCGATACATCCTTGACGGCTCGTAACCATCTCGCAAATTCATCCGTGGCCTCCTCGGGAATCTTATCGTCCCAACCGATTATCTTCATCCGCCACAGCTCTTGTAGCAGAACCTTTGCGGTAATGGTGAGGTAGCTGAGCAGCCCAAGAGGATCGAAAACGGACATAACCGCGCTCATCGCCAGAGGCGGCGTAAGGCGTAGGCGACGTGGGCCACCGCCTACGGCCTCGCGGTCCGAGGGGCCCCGCGCCTCGGAGGTTTATGCATTATTTAAAAGCCGTCAACGAGCCGAAAAAATTTGCTTGTCATGAAACTATATTATTGACATAACGTAATACGTTTTAAACTAGTTTAGAAATATTAGTTTGTGTTTCTGTCGCGGGGAATCCTCGCAGCGTGCCGGCAAAAGCTTAGGATCCCTATTTTGTATGTTTAGACATAGAATACTAATTTTTTTCATCGTGGGCACGTAGCACCCAAGTAGCGAATACACTTTAACGGCCCGTTGTTTACCACCAGGCTTCAAATTTAAGTATAATGAAGTTTCAATCAAACTGCATCTGGTACTACATAACCATCTAATAAATTGCGTCAAATTCTACACAACATACAGCCACATTTGAGACTCCGATTAACTTGGGAAGCAATGATGCAGACTCATCGAATACTAATATAGAACGACGATCGGAAATAGAAATAAAATCAACACCTAACGAAGCATTTATTAATTTGTATCCAGGAAAACGTACGTTTCCCATAGCAGATTTTCAGCGTCATTATATAATTCAAAGCGACGGTGCACAATCATTGAATAGTGGTAACGAAGATTATTCCAAATATAATAATCATACGCACTTTTCCAATTTATAATTTTTTAGAAAATAATGGTTGATACAGGCATTAAAGTCTCTGTGTAGGGACTCGAGTGCTTGTGTTGATCCTATCAACGGGGCCTAGTCGGACTGGTATGGCATCCATAAAGGTGTCAGACAGGGCTGTGTAGCTTCCCCGTGGCTGTTCAACTTATTTATGGACAGTTCTTTGGAAAATTTGAAAGTTGAACAATGCGAGTTAAGAATGGGTGAGTTAACCGTCAAATGCCTTTTGTACGCCGATGATCAAGTCATACTTGCGTCGTCGGCGGCCGAGTTGCAAATGATGGTTACATTAATGAACAGTTCATTAAAAGAAAAGGGAATGAAAGTGAATGCAAGTAAGACGAAAGTTATGGTTTTTGAAAGAGAAGAAAGTAAAACCACATGTGACATAAGAATAGAAGGGGAGATGGTCGAGCAAGTAAATGAATTTATATATTTGGGATGTGTATTCAGCAGGGATGGGAGATATGATAAGGATATTGAACGACAAGTGAATGCAGGAAATAAAGTAAATGGGGCTCTACACTCTATTGTGAAAAGTCAGAATGTGTCAAAAAGGCACGTATGGCAATTCACAGTGCTCTATTAGTCCCTACTTTGACGTATTGTAGTGAAAGTTGGGTGTGGCAGAAAAAGCACGAGAGTAGAATAAATGTACTAGCAATGCGATCACTAAGGAATATGTTAGGGCTGAATCTAAGTGACAGGGTGAGAAACTGTGTGATAAAATAAGAGTGTGGTTTGCAAGATGATGCGGTGACCAGGATTAAGAAAGGAATACTTCGGTGGTTTGGTCATGTAGAAAGAATGAATGAGGAAAGACTGACAAAGCAAATATATGTTGCAGCAGTGAAAGGAAGAGTCGGAAAGGGACGTCCTAGGCGAAAGTTTGTCGACCAAATTGGTGATATATTAAAAATGGCTCAAATTAAGAGTACCCTTAACCGACAAGTATGTATGCGTAGGTATATGGATGTGGAAGAGGCGAGTATGTCAGGATCGTGCTAAATGGAAGTCCGTGGTCTCTGCCTACCCCTCTGGCAGGCGTGAGTGTTTATGTTTATGTTAGTTTTATTTTTTTAGAAAACTTAATAATGGTGAAATCAACATCGTCGATTGTTGGTTTATTCAAAATCTCAGAATAAATTTTTCTGTTTTCCATGCAGACTATTTGGCAATTCATA